AAAAAAAAAAAAAGAAATAGCTTGCTTGTTTTCTATTGAATCTGGACCTTACATCTGGCTCATTGACCTCTAGTTCTTTGGACTTGGGCCAATGCCCTGTATATGCCTTGCTGGTCAAGAGAGCCATTTGCAGCTTGCCATTTGACCTGCTGACCTTGGCTTCCTTTGCCTTGCAGCCTGACTTGCTGACAGACCTTGGAGTTATCTGCCTCTGCCACCAACAGCTTATGATCTTATGGCCAATTTGGGGTTTGTCAGCCTTTAAAGCCACTCCAGAGAGTTGAAGTCTTCAGTTTAACATCTCAGTTACAGAGTATTCCTGGATTTGTACTGAACTTGCCCACTTACATAACTGTGTGAGCCATTTTCTTTATGTAAATCTCTCTCAATCTCCCTATCTTTCTCTGTCTGTCTCTCTCTCTCTATGCATATATCCATATATATGCCATTTTCTTCATAAGTTTCTCTCAGCCATATATAAATATGTATATATATGCATAGAGAGATTTACAAATTTGATGATCTGAACTGTAAACTCTAACTAATTTACAATAAAAATTACGTAAGAATAGAAAAACAATGGGTGTGATCCACCATTTTAAATAATATAGGCCAGTAATGTGAAAATGAATCTGATGGTTAAGACATTTTTGCGTGTGATTATGTATCTGGAATAGAGCAAGGGAAAGTACAGGTGGTTCCTGAATTACAGTCTATTTGAATTATGGCAAACTGGTGACATAATGGTTATGCATAGACCTGCTAAATACAAGGTCAGCATTCAAAACCACCAGAAGATCCATAGGAAAAAAGATGAGACTTTCTACTCCTATACAAAGTTACAGTCTCAGAAAACCCACAGGGGTAGTTCTACCCTCTCATGTAGGGTGGCTGTATAAGTCCTCAGCAACTCAATGACAGTGATTTTTTTTACAGAACTTATAATTTTGTTGTTGTTTTGTGTGCTTATCATTAGTGAGATGTGTTACATACAATATTGCAATGTTATTTAACTTGTTGATGTTATCATTCCCAGATAATTACTTGAAGATGTTCAATGAATTTCTATACAAGTCATTGCCAATAGCAGGCTGTGAAGAAAATGAAATTATTAGATTTAGTTAAGGGTTATCAGAATGGAACCCCATCCCAAATTGGAGCCTACCTGAAAATTATACTGCCACTACTGGCAAAACATATACTAACAGCAACCAAAAAGAAGCAGCAGAAGAAAGGAGGAGGTACATATAAGACACCATTGCCAAAACAGAAGTCACCAGGCAGAAAGGACTGTCATCATGAGATATGGGTATGCAATGAGGTGAATCGTATGATTGTCTCAAATCTCTTATTGCATTTTCAGACCATGGCATGGCATGGGGAAGAGACCAGACTTCTTATGAATTTGAGTTGATGAAACAAAGAAACTTGCACACACACCAGTGCTCACATCAGCTTTATTTGTAATATTTCGGATAAAGAAACAACCCAAACTTCCATCAAAAGGTGAATGGATATACAGACTATAGTAGATATATAATGGGCCCTACAATTCTGTATGAACAGAACAGAGGAATATCGCATGGGTTTAGAATAGGTAGAGATGTGTGTCAGTGTTGTATCCTCTTATCATCTGAGAAGCTAGATTATATGAAGAAGAAAGTCTTATTAATAAGCAGTGATATGCAAATGATACAATTTTGCTTGTTGAAAGTGAGGAGAACTTGAAGCACTTGCTGATGAAGATCAAATATTTCAAACTTCCGTATGAATTATAACTCAATGTCAAGAAAACCAAGATCCTCAAAACTGGAGCACTAGGGAGTATCATGATAAAGAGAGAAAACATTGAAGTTGTCAAGGATTTTGTCTTGCTTGGATCCACAATCAATGTTCATGGAAGCAGCAGTCAAGAGATTAAAGTGTAAATGTGCTGCACAAGATGACTTTTGAGTGTTGAAAAGGAAGGTTGTTACTTTGAGAACTAAGGTGTGCCTTACCAAAGCCATGGTATTTCCAGTTGCCTCATATGCATGTGAAAGTTAGACATTGGAAAGGAAGACTGACAAGCAGTCAATGCATTTGAACTATGGCTCTGGTGAAGACTATTGAGACTACCAAAAGAACAAACAAATTTGTCTTGGAAGAAGTATAGTCAGAATCCTCCTTAGAGGCAAGGATGCTGACACTACATCCTACTTATTTTGGACATGTTATTAGGAAAGACTAGTCCCTAGAGAAGGACATTATGCCTTATATGCAAAGTAGCGGGGCAGCAAAAAAGAGAAAGGCCATCAATGAGATAGCTGCCACAATGGCCTCAAACCTAACAAAATTGTGACGATGGTGCAGGTCTGGGCAAGGTTTCCTTCTGTTGTACATGGAGTTGCTATGAGTTGGAACCAACTTGATGGCACTTGACAACAATAACTACACAATTAAAAGGAATTGGCTGCATGCTCACAGCACCCAAGGCTTCCGAGAGTAGTAGCTCTAGACTCAAACTCTCGTCCCCCACTAAATCCAAGGTAAGATGATCAAAGTAGCCATACCCTCTCCTGGGGCCTCCCCAGCTTAATACCCAGAATCAGTAAACATTTTGTTTACCTTAATAAGTAAAACATTTTTTCAATGTCTACTCACCCCCATTCCCTCCACCCTTCTACTCCCCATACCACCACTGTCATGAATCCAAGGCATTGATCTTACACTTTTATCTGATATATGCTTGCCCATGCACACAAGAACCACATCACGAATCACTCGATATTTTTTATAAGGAGATTAATTTTGCACTTGCCAAGCTTTCATGAAATACCTTTGCCCTCCCTCCACCCACCAATAGCCATAGCTGCATGAGCTCAGGGCCAAGATGAATGGGAAGATTCCTGGGAGATTTCTCTATGCTTCATAGTCAGGAGTCTCTCTCTCTCTCTCT